TTGTTATTCAACCTTTATTGTAGCTACAATTTTCTCTTTTATTATTCTTTTAATAGTATAGGAAGCAACATTGAACAAATCGAAGTCTGGTTAGGATCAATATACGCCGTCAATCCCGACTCTCAAACATTGGTGAGACGCAACATTAGTAAAATAGTTTCACATCCAAAGTTTAGCTATATAAACGATGATTACGCCCTCATAAGGTTAAGCGAACCAGTGATATTTACTGACGCCATTAAGCCGGTGTGCCTGCCAACATCTGATATGACTTTTGAACCAGGATCTTATGGCTATACCACAGGATGGGGTTCGGTCATAATGTATGGTAAGTTAACATTCATAATTATGATTGGCCTGCCATCAAAGCCATAGGTCATGGGTCATGCCTCAAACGTCCGTCCACATCTGCGTCAAACCAATTTTTCATTTGCGCGACGTACAAATTTTAGGTATACAATTGATCATAACTGAGCATAGCCAAAATATACATATTATTCTGTAACGCTCTTCAATCAGAGTTACAGGATGCAGTTAGAATCATGTAAATAATTCAGGTTAATATTTCCAATTGATATGCAAATTTTGGTAGCACGATCACTCATAATATGTAAAAACCGGCGGACAAAAAAAATAAAAATGTCGAAAAAAAAAATTGGTGTATAAAAGTTTTCAGCTCAAAATTTGGTAACTAAAACGACATGGTAAAAACAATAGTCAATATTACTGATACTTAATTAATATCGTCAATAAATGGAATACGGTTTCTTGCAGGTAATTCACCCGATGTTCTACAAGAAGTACGTGTCGTAGTCATAAGCCTTGAATATTGTCGCCGTCGCGTTCACTTTGCAAACGTTACGGCTGATATGATATGTTTGAAAGACAGGAATGGCGGACAGGGACCTTGTCACGTACGTAAATATACTTCATGAATTATGGGAAATAACAAAAACAAGATTAATCGTTTTAACATATATAGGCCTATCCATTTCGCACTAACACCATTTTTTATGAATCTGTAAAATTTCCCCTAAAGCAAGGATAATAAATATAGTTAACAAGAAACATTCTCAAAATGTTATTTTATTAAGCCCGAAGAACTTTATTTCTTTTTTACTTTCTCTTAAATTGTTTAAAGTAACAATAATACATAAGAAAATAAAACGATAATTTCAGAAGCAAAAGCTTATAAAGATGAAAAACCCTAGTCACAAATACAAATAAACATATAATAGAAAGTGTGAAAGGGCGTTAAGTAATACGTTAAACTGATCATTATTATTTGAAGAAGTCGTCTAGAATATACAAAAAAAAACTATATATTTCTAAATCACATTTTTGTAAATGTAAATGAAAAGATTATTAAAGTTTGTTAACAAAATTTCTTGGAAAATCGAAGGAGAATAAAAGAAAATAAAAGAACGTTCTGTTCTCAATGTTGATAGTTTTATGTAACATTCAGTGCTCGTAAACTTGAAAGCTCTGATGAGGGCAGTATACTAGAGGCAATAGAGCTAAAAAGGATATATTAATCAATGAACTATTAATCAATCAGCCGAGTGTTTCTAGAGCTCCTCATGAGGGCAGTGTAATAGAGGCAGTATAGCTCAGAAAGATCGATTAATCAATCATAAATGTATTTATATATATTTTTACAGCATTACCACAAAACGATCGATTTAGAGTTC